CAAGCGAAAGAAGATGATTTTCCCTTTTACTACCTATTAAAGATAAACATCAACTTGTGACTCAAATCTATTAATTAAAATAAACATAAAGTAAAAACCTCTTTCCACCAAGAGGAAAAGGACAGATGGAGAAGTGGAGGAGGTGGAGGTAGCTGATGTCTTCTGAGAGGAAAAAATAAAAACAAGAAGCATGAAATTGGTGGGTAAAGTTAATTAAAAGAGGTGAAGACGTGCTTGGATCTAATTTATAGTTCAGAACTATTTTGGATATCTTAATAATTGCATTACTTAAAGAAATGGAAAACCTTTAATATAAAGTTGGTAGGGGAGTGTTATCATCTTAAATCACCTCGCAAAATGGTAAGTGCTTCAGACTGAGCATAGCAAAACTATTGATCTGTGAAAGCTACACCAATCCCCCCCCCCCCACTCAAACTCCCTATATGTCCTCCTAATTTTTTATTTCTTCCTCCCTTGCATCCCATTGCCTGAAATAAGACACTGGCAAGGAAGAGAAAAAAAAAATCAACATATGTCCTTTTCATCCCAACCCTACATGCACTGGTCTATGGAATCACAGTTAAAAAACAACGTCTACAGCTTATATCACACAATACAACCTCTGCCATTTATTGGTGCAATGTGTACATCTAAAGTCTAACCTTATCGCTAACAATTCCTGATCTTAGCAATTTACCTGAACAGCTCATCTACCACACCAAGTTCAATCAGAGTAGAGGGGAGCAGAGTTACTGTATAAGATCGTAGTGGACCTAGACAGAAACGAGAGAGAAATGATATAAGAGAAAACTCATGTTTGGTTTTGTCTGAAGGGTCCTTAGAATTGTCTCCATCATCCGCACCGGGCTAATGAGATGCTGCGAGGAGTCTTAGAGACTGTCTCCCTGGACCATGGAGAAGCCGAAGCCGACATCTAGCAAAGTCAAGTGATTTGCTCAGTGACACACAGCTCGTTAGTGGCAAAGCCTGGCCAGGCTCTTCTGCCTTCACAACTATTTATTTTATTCTTACAACTTGACCTTCATTTGTAAGAATGGATAAGAAATATATGCCAACATTTGGTAAAACTGAAAAGAAAGCCACAATCTAAACCCAAAATATTTCAACTTACATACAAGTCTAAAAATAGGAATTTTTTTTTTAACCAGTTCATTTACCATGTTCTATACTAACATTAAAGGCAGATACAGGAGTAAGATGGCAAGAGCTATTAGGAGAAAACCTTCCTGCCCACTTAAAAACAAATCAAAGCTCTGCAGGCAAGGAACCCTGAGCGTTTGAAAATGTCAGTGCCCTTGCACTCTTATGACTGTGATCGAAGGGCATGGACAAAACAGATTCTGAAGAAAGATTTGAGAAAAAGTCAGATGGCAAGCTACCTTCTGAATTAAGGAAAATAAATCCTCATAAAGAGGAGGCCAGGGGAAGGGGGTGAAAGACAAAATACAAGCCTAGTTCCCACAGAATGAAGAGATCATATATTAAATGAGCAGGCAGTTAATAAAAAATATATGCTGGGGGCTCTTCCAGTTCTTTTCAATTCCTGGCTAATTAAGCAACTATAAAAAAATCTCTCAGCTTTACTCATGCTTCTGTGTGCTTCCCCCACTCCTAAATTTAATAGTTAGACGTGGGCAGGAGGTAAGATGTAAGCTGTATCAGTCTTACCTATCACCACATAGCTGTCAACTTGTGAAAAAGAAAATGTGGAGAGAAAATACTTTAAGAAATAGATTGGCAAAGAAATAGCTCATCAACAAGTCCTGTCAGCTCTGCCTACCTACAAAATAGATCCCTAATCTTTACACTAGTTCTCTTGTCTTCCCTCTGCATTACTGCCTCCAATCAGGGTGTGGTTTTTTTTGTTTTTTGTTTGTTTGTCTGTTTGTTTGTTTGCTGTTACACTCCCCCCCCCCCCCCCCCAATTCCAGCAAGAATTAAAATGGAGTTTGACTTGACTTGGGGGGGTTGGAGGGGGAATGTACAACAGATCAAGCCATTCTCCTGCCCAAAGCTCTCCAAAAGCTTCTTGCCACTTATAAAAAGACCTAACTCCCTACAGTGACGCTAAATTCCCTATTACTCCCTACCCATAACTCCCCAAACCACCCCACCCCCAACTTTATCTCCCTCCCAGAACTCTGAAGGTCACCATGTTCTCTAACAGGCCTTCATTCTGGACCCCAATTACACCAAGCTTCTTTGCAACCAATACTGGTTAAAATCACGGCACCCAATGCTCTTTTTAACAACCTTAGGGCGGCTTCCAAAACTTGGAGTGTTTTAACTTCAGATATTTCCATGGCTGCCTCCTTAATATTCAGGAGCAGCTCACATGTCATCCCTGACAACCCAATTTAAAGTAACACTACAACCGAAACCGGTTTGGCTCAGTGGATAGAGCATCGGTCTGCAGACTGAAGGGTCCCAGGTTCAATTCTGGTTAAGGGCATGTACATTGCTTGCGGGCACGTCCCAGGTAGGGGGTGTGCAGGAGGCAACTGGTCGATGTTTCTCTCTCATCAGTGTTTCTAGCTTTCTATCCCCCTCCCTTCCTCTCTGTTAAAAATCAATAAAATATATTTTAAAAAAAACAAAAAACTTTAACATGCAAAAGATTCAAAGGCAGTAGGTTTCCACATGATCTGGGAATCTGCACTTTCAACAAACATCCCCAGGTGATTCTGACACAGGACGTCTTTGGAAACTTTGTACTCTTTGGCTGAACAAGGAATAGCAAAGGCCTGAGGGGCGGCATTATCAGGAAGATGATTTAACCAATAAAAATCTTTTTTATCTCTACCTTGAAACTGATTCTCAAGACAAGTCAAACTCCATTTTAATTCTTGCTGAACATTATTTAAATTCATAGATCTTTACAGCTTTTAATCATTTTTAAACTATACTAATAGCTACTATTATAGGACAAGTACAATGTTCTGCACGCTATTATCAGTGTTTTACACATTATCATATTATCCCATTTGAATAGATGAGTTTCAGTTAAATAAGTACAGACAACTATTAAGATGTAACAGCTTCAGAAATCAAACACATCTGTATGTTACTAAGGACTGTATCCTATGGAGTCTATACCTCCACTAATTACAGAAGTAAATAAAAATCCAGATTTGTAAATGAAGGGAGAGGATTTTCCTCCTAAATACTCCTCACATTTTAGAAAAAGAATTCCTGGGATTTCATTAGTTGGTGAACTTTGACAATACATTTAAATACCTTAAAAATGGTATGGCAAACTCTGAAAATGAATTAATCTCAAGAGTCCTTTTCTAAAACAAATAATCATCCTGTCAATCTAAATCACCAAATATTAAGAACTGATTCAATATTTAAAGATCTAATATTGGTTCTAGACTGATAATCAAAACTCATTCAGGGAGCAGCTTAAAAATAAAAATTCTAGATTCGCTCCAGTTTTGAATCAAATCCCTGTGATGTGATCTCCAAATCTTCACTTTTTAAAAAAATATATTTTTTAATTGATTTCACAGAGCAAAGGAGAGGTAAAGAGAGACAGAAACATCAATAATGAGAGAGAATCATTGATCAGCTGCCTCCTGAAAGTCCCCCACTGGGGATAGAGCCCACAACCTGGGTATGTACCCTCACCGGGAATCCAACCAGTGACCTCCTGATTCATAAGTCTATGCTCAACCACTGAGCTACACTAGCAGGACCCAAATATTTACTTTTATAAAGCTCCCTATGGGCTTCTAATAAATAACCAGGGTTTAGAACGACTGTCACCCTAACCTCAGCATCCTACAAGTGAATAAATTAAGATCTAAAAAGGTAGGGTCTGCCTAAAGACATAAAGTAGCACTGTAAGATAGAAAAACAATATCCTCCACATTTGGTGCTCTTTAACACCAATTCATGCTACTGGTTTTGGTAAAACTGTATGCTCTGCTGTTTATGCGCTGCAACTTAGCCTCCTGCAACTTACTCCCTCATCTGCAAACTGGGAATAATGGTGCTTGCTGTGAGGATTAAACAGTACAGCATCCATTAGGAAATGCATTTAACACAGTGCTAGCATGTGCTCGTTATTTAGATTGCAGAACTTCCTATAAAAAGCATGCCGTTTTTAACTGGAAAGGATTTACTGAACCACTCCAACTGCAAAATGAACAAGAAGCCTATGTTTGACTTGGGTAGTTCAAAAGGATTTTGAACTCAGAGTTAAGAGCTTCCCTGACTGTCACAGGATGCGTCATAACCGTCTTCTAGTGCATTAATCTCTGCATGGCGACCAGCAACCTGTATTTTTTAAAGCTTCCTCCCTCACCCCTGCCCCGCCAAAACTAGGTGCTTCTTCGGCAAACCCAGGTTTGATCAGCATTAGTGTACAGGACCCGTGATCACAGGGGAAAAAAAAAAAAAGACTGTGCTCTGTAACCAGAAGAGGAGCGTCATCAGACTCTGATGCAAACAACAGCTGGGGACAGCTGTGCAGAGTCCTCACTGTGACCACCAGGGACGGCCTCGACCCCTCTCCTCTCCTAAGAAACTTAAAAAATTAGGAAAGTGCCCTCCCATAATTTTCGCAGCCCGCAGTGAAGCCTAGGAGGCCACGAGGGTGCTAAAGTTAACCCAGCGGCTTCCTTCCCGGGAGTAAGGCCAGAGAAAAAGCGACGCTGGATGGCTGACCAAGTCAGCGCGGCGTCAAAAGGTTATCGACCCTCTCGGCCTGTTCCTGGGGGTGGCCAACAAGCCTCCACCAGGCTGCCAGCCACCTGCCGGAAGTGCGTCACCCCAGCCCGAGGGGCTGCCGGGAGTTGTAGTTAACTGGCTACGTCTCTTGCGCCCAATTCGCCTTTTTTTTTTCAAATACTCAAAACACCTTGGACCTAGAAGGAGAGTCGCTTTATGACCAACAAAACGAATCCTCTTTTTTTTTTCAGGTGACAGAGGAACTCCACTCGGAGCCCTTGCGGACTACCGAACTACAAGTCCCAGCATGCTTTGCAAGGCGCTCGAAGCGCCCGTCCACCATCATAGGTAGGGGCCGCATCAATGGAGCCTCGGGCTTAAGGCAAAGCCCGCCACGGACCGCCAGGCCGGTACCTGATCCAGGATCGCGAGCGCCGGGCATGGGCCGGGCGCGTGCGCGCTCGGAGGGGGCGTGAGGCAGCATCGCCCGGCCGTTGCCAACGCGCGGCTGCAAGAGGTTAGCGGCCGCGGTGCCCCGCGCGCCCTACGAGCCGGTCGTTGCGGGGGGGCCTCCCGCCCCGTGTGCGCGCAGCCGTGGCGGCCGCAGGTGACCGCAAGGGGCGGAGGAAAGGAGGGGGCCGGCCCCGGCACTCGGAGGATCCGCCGTGCGTGCCCCGAGACAACATGGCCTCCCTGATCCAGCGGATCGCCCGCCAGGCGTGCCTCACCTTCCGAGGCCGCGGGGGCGGCCGCGGCGCTTCCGACCGCGGCGCGGTGCCAGGCCCCGAGGCGCCGGCGCCGCAGGGCTTCCCGGAGAACCTGAGCCAGCTGAAGAGCCTGCTCACCCAGGTCCGCGCCGAGGACCTGAACATCGCCCCGCGCAAGGCCACGCTGCAGCAGCAGCCGCTGCCCCCCAACCTGCCGCCCGTTACCTACATGCACATCTACGAGACGGACGGCTTCAGCCTCGGCGTGTTCCTGCTCAAGAGCGGCACGTCCATCCCGCTGCACGACCACCCGGGCATGCACGGCATGCTCAAGGTGCTCTACGGCACCGTGCGCATCAGCTGCATGGACAAGTTGGAGGCCGCCGGCGGGCAGCGGCCGCGCGCCCCGCCGCCCGAGCAGCAGTTCGAGCCGCCGCTGCAGCCCCGCGAGCGGGACGCCGTGCGGCCGGGCGTGCTCCGCTCGCGGGCCGAGTACACCGAGGCCAGCGGCCCCTGCGTCCTCACGCCGCACCGGGACAACCTGCACCAGATCGACGCCGTGGACGGGCCCGCCGCCTTCCTGGACATCCTGGCCCCGCCCTACGACCCCGACGACGGCCGGGACTGCCACTATTACCGGGTGCTGGAACCCGTCCGGGCCCCGGGGAGCCCCGGATCCACCACCTGTGACCTGCCCCGAGAGGTGTGGCTCCTGGAGACCCCGCAGGCTGATGACTTCTGGTGCGAGGGGGAGCCCTATCCAGGTCCCAAGGTCGTCCCTTGAAGGAGCCGCAGGCTCCCCCTGCCCCCCAGGAACGGGGAGCTGAAGACATGCCTGCTCTCAGATCTGGCTGGGCCTGGCTGCCAGCAACCCACCCCACCACAAGGGCTCTCTCCCTACCCCCAGGCCACCTGGGCATTGGATCTACTGGAGTGGGCTGCGGTGCTGCCTCGGGAGCCTTTGGGAAGCCCGGGCGACTGGACTGCAGCCACCGCTGGGCACGGTTATGGGGGCGGGGGAGGCTGGGCTGTTTCCTGGCTTTGTCACTGCCACCAGGGTTTTGATTTGGGGGGGAGGGGAGCAGGGGGGACTCTGAAGCGCTTCCATCCTAAAGCCATAATGAAAAATATTCTTCTTTTGTTCCCATTCTATACAAAATACCCCCCATCGCCTTGGTCTTGGGTAAATAGGGCTTGTTTTCCACTTAATGTCCTTTATGCCCTTTGCTCCTTGTTATAGTTTTATTGACAGCATGACCCGGTGGCTTGAATTGTTTTTAGTTCAAGTCGTTGGTCAAAACTTAGGTTTAGATAGATGAGCTGCTTTTTAAGTGAGCTGCTCTGCCTGGTTAATTCGTTGCCAAAATGAAATCATTTTCCCAGAGTTGGGGGATCATCCCCAGAACATAACTATGCATGCAGAGGACAAGATTTTCTTTCCTCCCCTTGCCCAGTAGCCAGTTTACTCCGGCAGCATCTGCTCAGAAATTCACACCTGCATTTCTCAGTGACAAATTGCCACATAGAGCTTATCTTCCCGGGGAGTCCCCAGATCTGTGAGTTGAGCAGATTTCTTGTTGCAGATTCACCTTTAATACAAAACCATATTACCCTCGGGTGACTTTCTTTGTCATAGTATAAGGTGGTGGGGTGATTCTTTATTTTCTAACCAGAAGATTCAGAAGTACTGAATCAGTATGCTTCCAAACAACTGAATGTAAAACACCCCTGGCCAGCTATTGAACTCCATGTCCCTATTTTCTTCCAGTATTTTCCTGTAAAAGTAGAGGGAAATGTTGACAAGTGTTCAGATCCTCTCACACCTAACGTTCCCGAGAGCTGGTGTTCCAGCTGCGTTGTTGGTGGCCCTGTTCTCAGAACCCTCTCCCTCAAGCAGGAGAGCCCAGAGCTTGCTTCATCCACTGGTGACCCAGGCTCTGCAATTGAGAATCAGTTATTCTGCTGGCCATTTTAGGGCACTAAAAATCCCCACTCCCAGCCTCTTGACCAGTTGTGCTATCTGTAACTAGTTTTATTTTTGTCCTTTCAATAGTCTGAGCAACTTGACCTTGTTTACAAACACATTGGCACCATTTGCTTCCGGCCCTGAAGCACTATTGTTTCCCCCTTTTTACTATTTATAGGATTCCTTTTATTTCACAAACTTAATAACAAATTGTAGAGATGAACCCATTAAAATTTGCCCAGCTGTTGTCTAAGCCCTCTTGATTGACTTGCCCATGTGGCAATCCACTTCTAATATCTGTAATAGAGGGAAATTTGCTATTGGTGGAAAGTATGGACCCTGTAGGAAAACAGTATGTGCCTTTGCCTTTTTGTGCATACTGGGTTACAGAGGCCCAGTGAAGAGATATTTGTTTCCCAATTTTTTAAATAGAATGAAAAGGCAAATTCTCAATGAATTACTTACAAAAAAAAAAAAAAATGCTTATTCAAAGCAACATGCCACTGTTATAAATCCTGACACAGGCATAACACCAAGAATGTTCTCCGGAGTTACTAACACTGTTTTATGGTAGCTTTACATTCTGGTGTAATTTAATAATAACTTACAGTTTAATATAACTGCAGTTTGAAGCAGTTCTTCATGCATTCAGTTTGAAAATAAATTCTAGATATGCAAACGATTTTCTTAGAAAACTTCACCAAATGGGTGTTTTTCATGGCACAGTATGAATGTGTTTGGTTAACAATCACATACCTACCTGTTTTGAATTATATTGTAGCAAAAAGTTAAGATTAACTTATTAAGACTGTGGATAGTAACATGGATGTTATCATACAACCTGGAGTACATTAAATTAACCATTCTGGCAGTAGCACAATAATAAAGGAGAAAAGTTTTTCCAAACTTCACTATGAGAAATCTTAAAGTTCTCAATTATAAGCAAGTTGAGTGAAAAAAACTAAGGTGCTTTTCAAAAGAATAACTGAAATTGTTGCAGGCCAGAACAGTAATATGATATATCTAACTTAGTTCAAGAGGAACAGTGAAACTTTTGGTTCACTAATACATTCTGAATAAATTAATGGTGAACACAAAATGTAACTTGTTTTAATGAGCCACTAAGAAAAGACTATTATTACAAAGACGAATGTGCAGAAAAACCTTGCACTTTTCTGCAAAAACTGTTAGTCATGAGTGACCTCATGTGCTGCTATTGTGTTTCCATGTATTCCTGCAATATAGTCTGTTTTAGTAACAACTGTGGGAAAAGTTGTCTTCCCTACAAAGATTAATGAGCACAATGATACTAACCACTTAACTTTTCTGTTGCATAACATTCAATAGTTGCCTCCCATGGGTAAGAAGTTGTCTGTCTAATACTTCAATACTTCTAAAGCTCTTTAATTTTCTGGTTGTATCAATGGCCACTTATATCAATGGAGAGTATTATCTACCTACTACGTTATGAGAATTGATTTTTTTATTAAGCCTGATTCGCATGGATTGTTTATACCATTTGCTGTTTATTAATGAAAATGGTGAGCCTATTTTCAAAGTAATGTGTGTTTGTCAACAGGAGTGGGTCTCTGACCTTTTAACATTAATATCCTCTAACTTTTCCCAAAGTTTTCACCTGGTATTCCTCCTTTTGCATTGCCCACTTGTAAGTACCTCAGTCTTGGCTTCCCAGGAGGACTCTGCCACTCACTCATCTTTTCCAAATGACTTTGAATCTTGTGCTATGGCTCTACAGCTTGATGAAGAAGCAATATACCTCTAACCCAGGGCTCTGCCCATCGCTATTGAACTCTAACACGAGGATAGTAACACTCATGTAACTCTCCTGGTCTGAATTCGGGACCTCTGATCCCTTTAGTGCAGTGAGGCCTCTACTATCAAAGAGGGAAATCCTTTGTTAAGCCCCATATAAATACTGAATCTTCAGATCCAGAGATGTTTACATTTCTGGATTAAAATCAGTGTACTTATGGAAAATAAAGGCATGTTTGAAATCGTTTGTAGGTAAGTCTTACTTGGTTATTGCAAAAATAGAGAAGGAAAATATTACTTGCTACAAATGACTACATTTTTACTAGCTGTTAGAGGTTCATGGTCTATACTGTAAGATGCTGTACCAACAACTGGTGGCCTGCAGAGTCTAAAGTTTAAAATTTCCTTGAAAGTGAGCTTTGAAACAGTTGATTGAAAACATAATCTGAAACTATTTAATGTTTACTCATACTACTATGCTGCAACAGAAAATGTTTTCTATTTAATTTAAGGAAAAACTTGTACAAGGAAACAAAAGTATTTTTATCCATAAAGGAAAGAACCTTTGGGTTTAAATATTTCCTTGTCTTTCCTTTTCCTGTAAAATTTGTTTAATTGTTTAGAGTGGAGGCACTTTAGGCACTTGAGATGATGTTGACCATTCTTTCTCTCACACACATTGTATTGAACTGTTAAAATAGCACTACAGTCATTTTTAATATATACCTAACAGTGTGCCTTAATTAGCAGTTTAGGATATTGAAATTAAATAGCCTTGTTTATGAATAATTGAAAACCTTATTTAGGTTTAATCTATTTTTAATGCTTTCTGAACTATCTCAAGTGCATTATGATCTTTAAGGAATTGCTCTCCAGAAGCTTATTTTTAATAAGGATTTCCAGTAGCAGCTGAAACATCAATAATATTATTCAATAAAGCAATAAGAAGGATCTAACTTAATTTTATATGCTTTATTTCTTGAGCAAAATAAAAAATGAGATACCAGTGACAACTACTGAACGTGTCAAGCCAAAAGTAAAATCCAATTAAAGATTGACCTAACATGTTGAAATCAAGGAGTAAAAGTCATAAGATTGTCTCAAAAAGCACCTTACAGTGTATTATTCCACTTCACCAAGCCCATGTCAGTGTAAAAGTGATTATGTAACCGATTTGACTCATAAAATGCATTTCATGTTACTTTTTTTAGAAAAGCTTTTTTAGTCTTGCAAACTTTATATTATCTTGACTAAAGTTACTCTAAAATTAAAATTTGGCAAGACAATTAGATCTTATAAAACTTAGGTGTGCTATATATTAATATAATAAAATTTTGGTAGGAGGGAAGTCTTCATTAAAAACAATTATCAAAATGGGGCATGGTTTTGAACGTGTCAAACAAAATCGGCCAAGCAAGGAAATAGGAACCTAAGAATAACGCCAGTCACTAGAAAATCTGAAGTTTAAAAACTTCTGTTTAGTGGTTATGGAAAGAGGTATTGTACATCTTTGAAATTTGAACAGGGAAAAAATAAGAAAAGGGTTAATTACTTCCACATATTAGAACTCAAGTTCTAGTGCTAGTAAGGACGAAAAGTAGCTTCTGAGAGTAGCTATTGCTCTCTGCTAAAGTACAGGCAATCAGTTATCAGCCAGGATTAACGGGTCAGGGTTTTCAGGCAGTGTAGCTGAATAGTCATCACTCCAATGTGTTGTTACACTATATATATATATATATATATATATATATATATATATATATATATATGGATCCCGAAGCAGTGGGTGAAGTTAAGTAGGCCCAATTTTAGAAAAAGATAAGTTCATATAGATTTTTTTTTTTGGTGGCTTTAGATTTTATAATCACTGCAAAAGGCTTGCAGTAAAATGAACCCCATAATGTTCTCTTGCAAACCATCATCCAGTACCATGGAGGACAGTATTTGCCTATTTAATTCAAATTCTCTTTGAAATTTTAGGGTTGGTATGCACCTACCTTATCTAATGAGGTATTTTGGTAATCTCTAGACCCACCAAACCTATGGCAGATGAATGATCCTTCCCAATGGGGATAATCAGGGAGAAATGTGTCTGGGGTAATTTCTTTGCAGTGTCTGAATGCATTTTTGATCTGAAGAGGTGATACTGCTTTTCAAAAAGCTTTCTGTGGTCATGAGACTAATCCAGGAACCTGAAAGTCATTCCCAGCTTGGCCACGCCACCACACTTTCCACAAAGCCACATTTCGCCTGAGAGCCTGCCCCAGGTCAGATTTCTGAAAGCAGTTGCAAGCGTGCAGTTTTCTGAGTGGGCACTTGTTAGTAAGTATTTATTTTCCGGAGCCCACTCAGGAGTGGTGAGAAGCTATAGGCTGTGATAGAGGACAGAACAATGAGTCAAAGGAACGCCTCCCCACTTTTACACCAATGTAATGGGGAAATCCCCTGAACACCAGCGTTTGATTATGAATGAAGATTGCTTTGGGGCGAGAGGGCTGGTGTTGAAAGGCTAGCAAAGAAAACTTGGATATCCTGGCTTGGTCAAAGCACTAAAAAACACGGCGTGACTATTGAATTTCCATCCAGCAAATCTTTCAGAAATGATTTCTAGAGCAGAAATATTGTTGAAAAGTATTTATTTACACTATAGTTATAAACCATCCATTATCTGAACTTCCGTTAGTGGTTTTTGTGTTAGAATAAATCATTTATATTTCCACGACTATTAAAAGCTAATAACCAAACAAGTCAGTTCAGCAACATTATTTACATTCTTAACTGCAATTTGACTACAAAGGTAACACTTTTAAGTCACAAAACAGAGCATACAAAAATATACTTTCTAAAAAAAAAAAAATTCCAAATATTAATAGGCAGATATATACAGCCATCCTAAACCCAGGGAGTGATTTTTTTTTTTCATAGTAAGGCAACCCATTTACATGCAGACTCTGTAACATTGTCTACATCACACAAGGCACCAAGGACACTTCCAACACAACTGCATGCATCCTAGCTTCGGAGAATATATGTACATCCCTTTTAAATAAGTTAACCTCCGACTCACTTCAAGAGGTCATAAATGCTTTACTTTTTTTTTTTCCCAAAGGTTCAGAACTTGGAGTACAGTGCACATCAAAAATACACAAAAATCTGAGTGGATATACACTGCAAAAATAATCTTTACGTTTCTCAAACAATTCAAAAAGGAGCAGGTATTGCTATGTCCCTCCCATCACATTGCACTTCCGTTCTCTGAGTCTATAATACATATTGCTTAAAGGGTTGAGAGGACTAGATACACTCTGATTCACTGATCCAGGGCCACACATGGCTGCATAAAGACCATGCCTTCCTCGTTTGTATGGCGTCCCCCAAAATCAATCCCAAGCCATAAAGTGCATGTCAGTTTTGCTTCTGTCTTTGCTGCTCCCCCCCACCGGAAAGAATCAGCATCTCCCAACCTACTGTAGAAAACGTCTCAGGTCAACTCTGACACTCAAGTCAAACACCTGTAAATTGGTCAAAATATGAGGGGGGGAGCAACACCTAGCCAGACCACCCTTGAGAGCAGGGTTAGGCCTCAGCCCTCTAGGCCAGGGGCTCCCACCGAGCCTCCTTCCAAACCTCTCCAGAGCCTTCGGTGACAGTCAACTCACCAAAGAAAGACTAAGGTGGGCCAACGTGTAGGAAGGACCTGCTCCTAAATGGAAAAGGGGGCAGTGCTGGGCTCCACCAAGGCCCTTTGCCCAGAGAAGGGAGAGGGGGGCAGGAGAGGGTGGTAGTGTTTGTTGTGCAGCTCCAGCGGACCCAGGGCCTCTGGGACATCAAGAAACTGTCAGCCTGAGTCTGGTCTCAAGGTGTCCTGGTCCTAGAGGAGCAAGTGGCCAGGGACCCTCCTCCCATGGCGCCGCTGTTGCTGCTGCCGCCGCACAGGGGCCCTCCGGCCTGCGTGCCCCCAGGGCATGAAGAAGCCATGGAAGCAGCGGGCACCGACGAGGAGGAGGGAGCGCTGCCTTTGCGCTCCTTCTGTCTCAGGTGGATCTTGGTGTGGCGCTTCCTCTCGTCGCTCCTGGCAAACTTGCGGCCACAGTAGTCACAGGCAAAGGGCTTCTCGCCCGTGTGCGTGCGGATGTGGGTGGTGAGGTGGTCGCTGCGGCTGAAGTTGCGCATGCAGATCCGACACTGGAAGGGCTTGTGGCCCGTGTGGATGCGGATGTGCCGGGTCAGCTCGTCGGAGCGGGAGAAGCGCCGGTCACAGCCCTCCGCGGGGCACGGGTAGGGCCTCTCGTGCACCGGCGTCTTGCTGGGCCTGTTGGGGTACTTGCGAGGCCTCAGGATGGGCCGCAGGGGCAGGTGGTGCGGGTTATAAGCGGCGGCAACAGCAGCTGCTGCGGCCGAGCTGCTGCCAGGCATCCGGGGTCCCTCGCTGCCTCCACTGGCCCCTGGCCCGGTGGCCCCGACACTGGGGCCCCCCAGAGTGAAGTTGCGGATGGTGGAGAGTGGGGTGAGCGGAGGCGGGACCCGCAGGGAGTCCAGGGGGCAGGGGAAGGGCTTGCGGTCTGGGCCAGCTGCACCGTGTAGGTCCCTCTGGCACTGCGACGGGAAAAATCCAGGGTAGTCTGGGATCATGGGGAAGAGGCCTGGGTCCGTGGTGGGCTTGGGGGATGGGTAGGAAGGAGGCGGCGGGTAGCCCAGAGAGGAGGCGGCGGAGGTGGTGCTCGGGGACAGGAACGCGGAGGGGTCCTGGTAGAGGTCCCCCGTGCAGCCGGAATAAGGAGGCGGCGGGGGCGGCGGCGAGTAGAGGTGGTCCAGGTCGGGCTGGGTCTGGGACATGGTGCACACGCCCAGGGGTCCGGCGCCCAGCGGGTTGGGGGAGGCAGAGGTGACACTGGATGAGGCTGTCGTCGAAGCTGGGGAAGTGACCCCTTGAAGGATGCCTGCACTCACAATGTTGATGATGCCTTCCGGGTAGCAACTGGCACCGGCGTACTGGGGGTCGATGGAGAACTTGCCCATGTACGTGAAGGTCTGGTTTCGGGGTGCGGAGACGGGAGCAAAGCTGCTGTGATACGGGAGATCCAGGGACCTCTTCTCTCCAGTCATGTCAATGTTGATCATGCCATCTGGGGAGAAGGAAGAAGGGAGGTGGAGCAGTGAGAACGCAGCCAAGAATCCCTTCTCACACCCTCTCACCCGGGTCCATATGAGCATCTTAAGCACTTTAGGGTTGGGGAGGGAAATTGCTACC